ATTTATGCTTGGTGGGACTGCTTTGTGCAAGATCTAAGCTCTAGGTTTGCGCCCTAAACACACGCTGATTGGGCGTCGCACTTTGCACAAATTCCCTCCTCCAAGCTCCCCCCAAGCCAAACGGCGTCCAAGCCGGGCCATTGGCAGCAGCAGCAACAGCCCTGGGAGCCCCATCCCATCTCACATGCCATCCGACGGCCGCTCCATCGCACAACAATCCTCGTCTACCGTCGTCTTTGCGCGCGCCCAGCAGTAGCCCGCCGTCATTGCGTTGTACTGCACTGTAGAGTACATTGCATTGCACTTGCCTGCCTACCTACCTACCCACCCATCTTACCCACACCAGCCTGCTGCCAGCACGTTAGGCGCCAACGCCCATCTCGGCGGGCAATGTCGCTTGGGCCCCCATTTCTACCTACCACGCGGTGAAATTTTTATTATCATTTTTCAATCTCGACTTTTTCTCTTCTCTTCCTCTTCGTTTCGGTTTTCTCACCTCAACAACCTTGCAGCTGGACCGCGTGGAAGAAAGTAGTCGGCAGAAAGGGGAGGGAAAGAAAAAGAGACCCGAGTCGGCCATCTAGATCGAGGGATGCAGCACGCCACTGTTACACCCAACCGCGACACAGCATGCAGTCGGCGCCAAACCGATAGCACAAGTCCAATCCATACGACGCCGGCCAGGAACGTCTCCGCACTGTCAACGAGGTCACGTCACGCCTGCCTCCGCTGCTGCCCATCGACGCACAAGCAGACAGGAGGAGGCCTGCAGGTCAGATCGAGACGCGTCGGGGGTGAAGAGTCGCCATCGCGCCGCCCAGAGCGGTGCGTGTGCCTGTGCGTGGACGAGTGCACTCGAGCTCCCCATCGATAGCACAAGATGCCGCACTTGCTGGCTGCCGCCGACCATGGCGAGACGAGCAGGAGCAGGAGCAGACAGCGCGCTCGCACAGAGGTCAACGAGCACAGGAGCATGTGGGACCGCCTGCACTTTCAGAAGATTGGCTCCTGGCTCAAAAAGGACGACGACCAGTCTCCACCACCGCGCGACAAGATGCCCAACGCAAGGTGGGAGGAGCCCACAGCCGTCGCAAACAGCAAGGACAACAAGGACAACAAGGACAGCAAGGACAGCAAGGAGCCGACGAGGCCACACTCAAGCGGCGGACTGCTTGGTCGAAGGTCCAGCAAGCGAGTCGTGCCTGGTCTGCCCCGGCCCCTGACGTTCAAGCGTATGCAAAGCGAGAAGAGAGACAAGCTGCTCGAGGTGCCGCTCGAGGTTGAGCAGAGACGCGCCGCCTCTGTCGACCACAAGGAGCCCACCAACACCACCAACACGGCCACGGTCACGGCCCCGAAACGCAACCTCTCGCCGCCCCCGCTCTCGGTGCCCTCCATGTCGGCCCCCGATGTCCTTAGCCCGCACCTCCACGAAAGCCTGCACAAGCAGCCATCCAACCTGGGCCCGACGATTGGCGGGGGTCCAGACTCGAATATACCGGCAGGTGCAAGGCAGGTCGACTTCACCATGGACCATGACTATGATGGTGACCATGACCATGACCATGCCTACCAGTCTGTCGGAGAGCCACCGCTACTGGACACCCTCGATGTCTCCTCAGAGCACGCCTCGCACCACTCGGGCTCGGCCATGGACGATGCACGCCTGCAGGAGGAGCTAGAAGCCAAGTGGATCCTGAACCTGAGCATGCACTTTAGGGACATGTCAGACCGCGAGAAGTTCTTCATCACCTATGCCGAGGAGCCCAACAAGTGGCGCAGAGTCACCGTGTCCTGCGACTACCGCCGACTGGAGCCAGAGTCCCTCGAAGCAGACCTCAAGTCCCTGCACTACCAACGAGATAAGAGCTCGAGGATTTATGAGGCCATTCGTGACTCCTTGCCCGACATTCAGTTTTACGAGACGGTGACGAACCTCAAGCTCGAGACCACCGACGGCCGCCTTCATGTTCACGTGACTGAAGACGTCAATGAAATCATACCCTACCCATCCGTCTCTGCAATCGACCACCTCGATTGCCAACGCTTCACCGAAGCCGCCGTCAGTTTCGACTCGCACATCTCGGGCTTCGTGTACAAAGTCTCGGTAAACAACAGGACCTATATCAAAAAGGAGATTCCAGGGCCAGATGCAGTCGACGAGTTTTTGTATGAAATCAATGCACTTTGCAGTCTGCAGGAGTCCCAATCGGTCATCAGGTTCCAAGGCATCATTGTCGATGAACAGAATGAACTGATCAAAGGCTTGATCATCAGCTATGCTGAACAGGGCGCACTGGTGGACATGATTTACGACTACAAGCCAACAGGCCAGCTACATTGGGAGCGCCGCGAGCGTTGGGCACGACAAATCGTCCAAGGCTTGTCGGAGATCCATGAAGCCGGATTTGTCCAAGGAGACTTCACGCTGTCCAACATTGTCATAGACGCCAATGATGATGCAAAAATCATTGACATCAACCGTCGCGGTTGCCCGGTCGGCTGGGAGCCACCCGAGCTCGCAAGACTCATTGAAAGCGGCCAGCGCATATCCATCTACATTGGCGTCAAATCAGATCTTTACCAGCTTGGCATGGTCCTGTGGGCCCTAGCGGAGCAACAAGACGAGCCAGAACGTCAAGAAAAGCCGCTGACACGGTCGTTGAGTCGATCGAACAGCGACGTTCCGCCCTACTTTGAAGAAATCATCAGAGCTTGTCTGAACGACTCACCACGAGCACGGCCCTCGGCTGCAACCCTCTTGAAGCAATTTCCCACCCAGATCCAAGAGCCGAAGAAAAAGAAGCACGTCGCATTACGAGACAGCGTTTCCACACACCGGAGCGACAAAGAGTACATAGATCCCGCCACAGCTGTCGATTTGGCCGACATTTCACAACATCGTCGCCATTCGAGACAACATTCGTCCTCGTTTGAAAACATCACCATGCCACCCACAGACTACCCCGCTTCTTCTGGTTCCTACATCATGGCAAATGGTCTTGGTGACCGTAGTCGATCGCCCGGTCTTCCCAGAAGTGGGAGCAGAAACCAAAGGAGTGATGGCTCGCCATACACAGGCCATCGATCGGTCATGTCATTCGATGATTCAGAAATGGAGAACGAATTGCTGAGCCTACCCGCTAGCAGAGAGACAAGATGGGAGCAAATCTACGTGGATGGAGACACGAAGCTGGTGCAAAGAGGGGGGCTGGATATTAATGTTCGTGATTTTGCGACGCAAGAGCCCAAAGAGATTTGCATCAAAACTCCTCCAGGCGAGGAGATGGAGACTTCATTTGTGGCGAACAAGGCTGCTAACGATGACCCTCTCAGGCTCTCCACGGCGCCTGGACTTCAACCCATGGAGTCGGGTTCTGCAGGAAGCTCACAGGGGTCGGAAAGGCAAGGCCACCATCGAGGTGTTGGAAACAAGGCCTCGTTTAGCGATCGTGTCCATCAGCTCGCCACTTTGCAAACGCAAAATACAGTCCATGATGAGCAGCAGCGCCATGATCAGCGTTCGCCCCAGTTTCCAGATTCTGCTAGTCTTGCAGAAATCGAACGGGAACTGGCCATGGACTCGTCCGCCAGTAGCACTGCCCCACCATCGCGGATGAGCACAGGTTTCACCCTCTTTGAACGTGCGGTGCGTGTTGGTACAGGCTTCATGATGGCACATGGACATCACCGGCCACTTCACCAAGACTCTGGCTTCTCGGAACTGGAGCGAATTCCTTCCGAAAATCAACGGATACGACATAGTCTCGATAGTTCGGTTCAAAGTCTACACGTGTCGGAGGAAGAGGGGGATATCATCAAGGAGAGACTCTGGTTTGAAAAGAGCCATTCGGGTTTCCGTGACAGCGTTCGAGCCTCAGAGCTCGAATTCAACCCAGCAGCCCTGCCAAATTTCACCGCCTCAGCATCGCCCTCGAAATCCAGAACGCATTTTGGCGCTCCCGAAATCCCGCCACCGAGCTTCAACGCCGGTCTCTCCGATGTTCTCCGCGTCGAGAATGTCCAAGAAGACAAGAGCCTAGAGGAGAAAACCTCAAACACCACTATTCGTCCGCCAAGCATCCAAATCCCATCTTTGCCCAATGGCAGTCACACATGGGACAGGGCAAATTCCGCCATTCCTTTATCAGGCACGTCTGACGCCCCCATGTTCTCTGCTCGCTCCACCCAACGGCACTCCTACTACGATACCGAGGTCAGGCCCGCTTGTGATGATGACAACGATGACTTGATGTCCACGCTCTCAGAAGAAGAAAAGAAGGAGCGAGCAACACACGATCTATCCGATTACCTCTCCCACACCATATCCTTTCCGCAGCCTAGTACAGATTTCTATTCGCGTCACCATGACGCACAGAAGGTTTCGCAAGAACCAAAAGTTTGAATAGCATCGAGCGTCCTTTTTGTTTTAGGGGGAGGGGGATGACTCTCCACACCTTTTTCGCCATTTTCTACATTCACTCTTCGAATTCTCTTGTTCACCTTTTCTTTTTTTGCGGCATTGGCCAGATGAGCCATCATTGGAAAGTACATATTAGTTTTAACTCACGTGCGTATATTTGATTCCGTCTTCTTTTTTACTACTTCTTATCATTGGCACCATGGCTTCTTTTTTTTCTTTTTCTTTTTGAAGATTGGTTGCGATTCTAGCGTTATTTTGCCTCTTGTATGATTTCCATTTTTTTGGGGGGGGGGGGGGGGCATGAATGGTATTGGGGGAACTGGTTATTTTAGCGACATTGAATATCAGCGCATTAGATTGGTTTATTGATTTTACCATGTACTTGAATGTGTTTGTTCCTTGCCATGCGTTGTTTGTTCTGCTTTGGCGTATGGAAATGCGCGGCGTGTGTTATATTCCCTGGTCATGGTCACATTATTTGGACTTTTGTAATCCTGGATACATGTAGGGTCGGTGGCCTGGCACATGTCAAGCGAGTGTGTGTATAGCAGAGAATGATTGATGATTACATCAAGCGGGCGCAAAGCGTAGTCATGTGAGTTTTTGCAGACGAGATTCTAGTATCAGTGTGAACGTCCTAGGAAGGCGTGATATGTCCCTGTCTGCCCTCCCCCGAATACTCTTATTTAAATATAAAGCACGACACAAAATCAACTCGAACATCCCACATCCACACACACACACACACACATCCTGCTCAACCCTTAACCCCCCTCATCCTCAGTCTCACACACCATCCCAATAACCACGCCCATACCCAGAACCACAATCTCCACACCACCCCCACCCCATCACACCCCCACAGGATCCCCCCACAACGTCACCCTAACCTTCGGCTTCTCTCCTCCCCCCTTATCCCCCTCCCCCTCCATCCGCCCCCCACCCCCCGCCGCAGAACTAGCCCACGACGTCCGCTGCGACTCCTCACCCGCCCCAACCCGCCCATCCCCCGTCGAAGCCACAGAATACACAGACGCAGAATCAGACGAATCGTCGTGTATCTGCGCCCCCGTTTCCCAAGCCACCGCGCACGTGGCATCTGCGTCTTGCGAGTTCCGCAATGGGGGTGCGGCAGGTTGCGTGGGACTGGGGTGGGCACCTGTATGGCTGCGCGAACGCTTTGGGGGGGTTGCGTGGGTGGAGAGGAAGAAGGGGCGGGGTTGGCGGGTTGTGAAGGTGTTGGCGCGGGTGAGGGGGAGGGGGCGGAGAGGGGTTGAGGGTGGGGCTATCGGGTTTGTTTCTGGGTTGTGGGTGTGGCGGGAGGGGTGGGTGAAGGTTGATGATGTGGTGGTGGTGTGGGAGGTGCTGGGTGCTTTTGCCTTTTGCGTGTGGGCTTGTGTGTCTGTTTGGTGCTGGGTTTTCTGGTTGGATCTGGCTGTGGAGTCGAATTTGAATTTGTATGTATCCGGATTGGTTTCGTAGCTCGTTCTTGTCTCACGGCCGTTGGGTACTTCGTCGTCGAGCTCGTCATCGGTGGCATCTGCCAAGGTCTTCCATGTGTCTTCCTCGGTGCCTACGGTACTGATCGGTAGACTAATGTTCGAAGGATTAACAAACTCATCATACTCCAAGTCCGTCTGCCTTTCCTCCTGCGTTCTCGAGCTACCATGAGACCATTTCCTTGTCATCAAACGCCCCAATAGGCTTCGACCTGGCGACTTCTCATTGGCCGCTGGCTTCTCCTTCTCCGTGTCCCCGTCATCCCACCCGTCATTATCGCTTTCGACGACAAAAATATCGCACCCGGCCACTTGCTCCTCTTCATACGACCGGTTGGTCGTCTGCGCTGAGGTCACATTCTGACGTGCTATTGTACGCCCCCAGATCTCGCCCGCTTTGTTGTCTCTTTCATCGTAAGGAGTCAGAGGAGCATCTTGATAAGGGCTAGTAGGCGTGACAGTATGCCGGGGTTTTGGCGAAAGTACATCTGTCAGCGTATTCTGTCCCATAAGAGGTCGAGGGGAAGTAAGAGCGGCACTCTCCTCTACCGATGCAGTGTACGGTTTGGACGTTGAGACGTGTAGCCCCGTGAATCCGTAGCGCATAATTGGCGGTGCCTGGCCTCTGGGTGGTGGTCCAATATCTTTCCTCTCTTGAAATAGTCGGCCCCGGCGCGGATAACTCACCCCATCCTGCGATCCCAAGTCTGCGCCGCCCAGCGGTTGCACAGCTGGCGCAACATGTACGGGGACGATGGTATCCGCGAACCCCGATCGCTGGAATGTGGTATGTGCTTTGCCCGGACGTTTCAAATTTCGTAGCTCCAATCGTTGCTTCCAGAGGCGCGGCCTGGGCTGGGGAGAACGTCGTGGTTCTGCTGTGTGGCAGACGGGTAGGCTGCGTTTGAGACAGGCCTTGAAAGCTGCGTAGGCAATGCCTGCGCCCAAGATCAGGGGGACAACGATCAGAGCGACTATTATGAGAGGTGCAGGCATGGTGACCTTTCTTGCTGTGAAGTGGCAGTGGTGACGTTTGGATAGTTATCCATGCGTTCACAATCGAAGTCGCGGCGAGGAGTATCAGCGTCGATTTCTGGAACCAGCAACGAGGTCCCAATTCCAAAGGCCAAGGACTTTTCTCTTGACTGTTTCGTCACTTGTTGCTCGTCATACGGTTGGTCTTCATGCTCCCACTCCTCCGCATACTTAAAGTCACGAACGCCAATGAGGTGTTGTTGATCATGATAAAGGTTTACAAAACCCTAACTTTCGTGGTTTTTATCCATAAAATAAAAGGTTAGGAATATTTTTCCCAAAGAAAAACTTAACTTTTAACTCTGAGCATATTAGTTTTCCAAAAATTTTACACGCTACTTTCTGCTAATGTCTTACCACAGTTTAGGTGGTGCTCTTTAATGTGTTGGAGTGTTGGAGCAGAAGTTTACTGTACGTCAACATGCTGCGATGCGGGAAACCTGCCTTCTTGGTAAGATATGGTTAGGGAATCGCGCCAACCTTTGACCTAGTACAATCCGAAAGCAAAGGGTACTACATAGAGCCCAAGAAGTGCTATCACAGTCAAAATCACTGTAAACTGAATCACTACCAAAGTTACTTTTGGTAGCAGCGTATGCACGAGAAATTGACAATCAAGTCTTGCAATGGTCACAGTTGCGAGTGCATTACGTTGTTACTCTCTGCCTCCCTCGCCCTCTCTCTCTTCCTCTAACCCTTGTCCCACTTGCCTTTTTTGGGGACGCTCGATCTGTCATATCAGTTAAATCAGTCTCGCCATTGCTTCCCTCGGCGAAAAAGTGGCTCCTAACTTGAGCTTCGCTTTTGCGCGCGGCCTTGCGCCTGGGCACAGTCCTGGTAGAAACGGGTGAGCTCGGTGGTACGGAGGAAGCATCAGATAGTATAGATTCCTCATCCGAGGTTTTGGCGACGAGAGATGTGCGTTTGCGGGTGGACGAGGCAGATGATTTAGCCTCGCGATTACGTGGTCGACCTCTTCCAGTGCGTGTGACAGCGACTTTGCTTCGCGGCGCGACTTGCTCTGAGGACTGAGCTTCTTCTTCTCCATCTTCCGAGTCTCGACTTTCGTTCATGTCCATGCCGCTGTGATCATCATCTTCGCTGGCAGCCTGCTGCAGGGCTAATGTGAGAGAAATTGGGTTACGACTTGTGCTTTCGGCAAACGTTGGGCGAACGGCCTCCTCCCGTTCTCCATGGTCAATCGAGAGATCACCATGTACTAGCTCATCCTGGCTCGCCGTAAAGAATCCACCAGCCGTTGCTTCATTAGTATTTGCTTGGGGTGAATGGCCATGGGCGAGTTCCTCTTCACCGCGTAGAAAGCCTCCTTCAAAGTCTCTTTGCTTATGGAAAACTTCCCATTCAGAATCCTTTGGTCTTGACGGTTGCTCGGATGCTCTTTTGGCAGGTAGAGAGACATCCTCGCCATACTCGACCTTCATCCGCTCAATAATCCTCAAACCTGACGCAAACTTCTTCCACATACTCAAGACCAATTTAGCGCGTTTATCAGCCTCTTTCTTGACTTTTTCTGCTTCGGCGACTTCCCATGCGTCTATGATCATGTCTTCGTATTCTTCTGCAACGACGACACCAGTAATAACGGGCACTGCACGCTGCTTACCAAACTCAAAGCCCGTACATGCTTCTGCGTGGTCAATATTCAGTCTTCGACATATACGCGCCGTCCCTTTGAGGGCTATATGTACAGCACCGCTGGGAACCATGGTGGGAACGTAAACATCGATGTTGCCAAACGCGTTGCGTGGAATTTTTCCATCCACAATAGGATCTGGTATGATCCAGTCGGTCTGGGACTTCGAGTACAACCCTTGTTGGACCTTTCCTCCTTCTACTCGTTCACGCTCTTCAATTTCGCGCTTTCGTGCCACTGTCACAGCTCGCATCTTTACAAACTTAAGTGGCTGTTCGCCTTGCCGGATTGCGCGCCCCTCTTTATGCCACGACTCAACCGTCTTGCAGCTCACAATGTCTATTCTACGGTACACGGGTTCAGACTTGACATGTTCACCCTTGCCAGTGGTGAAATATCGGATAATCTTGGCACCCGGTTTCAGAGCTTCTTCACGTCGCAGATGCCTCTCTAGAACGTACTCGGTCGAAGTCTTGTAGCCTTGTAGCGTTTCCTTGCCGCCCTCGTCATCCATTGTCTTCTTCTTCTCCGGATGCGCTGGGACAAGATCACTTTCGTCTTCAACCTCATCCCATGGCTGACGCTTGTCGTGGAGTCGCGCATAGGGTTGCATGAGCGACTTGACCCAATCCCACTCTTCATATCGCTTGACTTTACCGCGCTTATTGTGTATAGGTATCCTCTCTACTGGCATGCGAAAGACTTTAGTTCTACCAGGCCACATGTGCTTGGGTAAGTAGCGTGTCATAACATCCTTGGCTGTGCCGTCCGAGGAGAATGCAACGAGGTAGGCAACCACCTGGTGGGCCCTGTCTGCCGCTGCGCCACGGGCATAGAAGTCTGCCAGTTTGTCCGGCGCTGCAGCGCTTGCTATTACCGTGCGAGGGAGTGGTGAGACCGAGATAGGAGTATGGGTAAGATGGGAGATGGCTTCCGTCCAGTAGGTTGGATAGGGGAGGTCTTCGCTGTACTTGGGCGTTTTGAGAGGTTTTATAGCAGGACGGTCTTGCTCGTCGGAAGAAATTGAAATAACGCTACTGATATCGCTACTGTCACTGAACTGAATCACAGATGAAGAGGCCTTGCGCTTTGGGGCTAGGTGTTGGATGGACCTGTCCTTGGTCGACGTCGAATTGGAAGAGGTGCTAGTCTGCGCAGCTTTGGTGACCTGTTTTAGTTTGTCCAGATTCTTGGGCTTTCCTTGTTCGCTCTGGCTCCAGCCGAAGCCGACTGGTTGTAGGGAAACGACCATGCGAGCTTCAATACCCAAACCACGTACGAGGGCGGTGAACAGCTGCTGTCCCACATCCCTACTGCCTTTGCAAGTTCGTGCGAGAACGCGAAATGCTTCGCGATTTTCAATACGTTCGCCAAAGGTGTCAGGATGTGCAGCATCTTCTTTCCATGCTCGAAGCTCTGCAGCGAGGGTTGCAGGCGACAGATAGCCACGTTTGCGTAAGCTGGGTGCGGTGATGTTGAATTTATTTTTCCAGTAGGTTGCCAGATATCTGAGTAGGCGGAGCAAAGGGTCTCCAGCTGATAAGTTGGGTGCATTTGGCTCCAGCGGCTCAGATGCAGCGCCCCAGTCACGCCCATTCCTATCGTGCTTGGAGGCTTCGTTGTTGTCTTTGTTTTCTTTGGTGGCCTTATGCTTCTTTTCGTGCTGGGGACCGGCAGGACCACTTTGGGGGCTTTGGTAGACCTTGATGCCTGGCTTGCCACTGTCCTGCCACTTTCCCTTGGCTAGGATTGCTTCCTTCTTCTCTGGCCTTGAAGTTGGGGGCACAGGCGCGGCGAGCCGGCTCGGTCCATCAGTTATGCCCGCGTCCCGCCAGTAACGTTCGAGTTCGCGCCAGCAACCAGGCGACATGGCTTCGACCAGCGTCTTCTGCACCTCTTTGTCCTCTACCCACGCATTGCGGACGAGGTTGTGGTACATGAGGCACTGCACATGGATGCAGTGGGTGACGGTTCGTACTTGGCGTTGTGTCTTGGATGCGCCTTTCTTCCCATCTGCCTTGGACTCGAAGGCTGTGGTGGGCGCGGCGCTGAGGGTGAGGGCGATGTCGCCCGTTATGACGGGTGCAGGGCCATGGTCATGGTGGGCAGGCTTCGTGTGAGGGTGGTGGCCAAGGGCATCCTCCCAGTCGACGTTGTCGTCGCTTTGGCCGTCACTCCCGTCGTCACTTCCGTCACTACCATCCTGCGACTCTGCCTTCTGTTTGCCATGGGCATGGAGTGGAACCGGTTCGAATTCGTCTTCGCTGCTGTTCGGCTCTGAGAGCTCGCTGTCGTCGTCATCTTCATTATCTTGTTGGTCCAGGAATGCTTTAGTCTGTAAAAGAGTGCGCTTCGGTTTGGTCGCGGCATCCAATGTCTGAAACACGGTTTCGCGAGGATTGCGTCTCTTTGACAGAGGCTCAGACGGAGCGATTGAATCCGAATGTGCACGTTTGCGCGAGGACCGGGGAGGCATGGCGCTGCCCTTGAGTGTTGTGATGTCAGGCCTCCATGGGCGGCGTTGGTCCTACTTTTTTTTTTGGTGGCTACACGATTGACATAGCTCTACTAGCTACAGTGTATACAATGGGTGGCACGTAGTTAGTTGTCATGGCGTCATGACGCAAGCCGTCCCATTCTTCCCCGATGCAGCCCGAACATGTATTTCAGCGCCCATCGCGTCGCGTCACATGTCGTCACCAGATCACGTGATAGTCTTTGTTCAAACCCCCTTGCCCCCAACTTCTCTCTCATCTCATACAAACAGCCGCATCCGCTGTCACGCACAGAATGTGCACCTTCATCACCACTACCAACTCATCCCATTGTGCCACGTTGCGGTTAGATTGCATCAGAAAAAAATCCACAATACTTGATTCAGCTTCGGTTGATTGCCCAAGTCCCCAAGTCGGCCATAAACTGTGCTTGGTCTTTGGAACACTTCTGGTTATGCTCATCCTCAGAAAAGCATGGCGTTCGTGTTGAGGTGACAATACGTACAATAACGTTTCCTAGGGCTGCTCTTCTGCTCGCCCAGCATGAGCACAGCTCGGATAGGTTCATACCCGATCAAATATACAGCCAAGCCATGCAGACCTGACTTGCAACTGAGGAGTACCAAGTTGTGCCAAGTTACCATCAGGGTTTGCCTTTGCCATCTGAGGCTATGCAGATTCCTGCCCGTCTCTTGTTTCAGCACGCTGAAACCGTGTTCGCTTCACAACCCCCGCCTGCTTGCAACTCTGGCTTCTCGATCAAGCGAACCTCACCACTTTCATTCCTCCTCCAACCCTACATGTTGCAAATTCTCTGACATATATCGTCAGGGTAACACTCCCGCGAGCCGGCAGTAACAGTTGACTGTTCCTTCAGACTGTTCACTCTTGATTGGACCGCTCTGCAAGGCCACCGCCACAAACTTAGACACTTGCTCAAGCACGTTCACATTCTTAGGTATTTTCTACTCTGACGGGTGGCCGGCACCTGTCTTTGTTCGAGATTGGTGGGGCGAGCCTGTCACTATTGCTCTGCCTAGACGTCTATCGGCATCAGGCAGTGGGCGCCATGACCGAGGCCCTTTGAATTGGCCCCATCAAACACTTCCAAGAATGAGCTTATTCGAATGGAAATGTTTGAATCTGGAGCCATGATCTGATTCTACCGCATACCTTACGTACTCAGCTCCGGTATATAGCCCCCAGGCCCAAATGGAACGACTTTGGCATCCTATCTATCAAGTCTCTTCTCATTGACCTTCCTTTCATTCAGTGCAGTGCACTAATCTTTAATCTGCTGAGCTGTGCTCTTCATTCGTTCCTTTATCATTCTACCCTCGATCTAGCATTGCAATTTGTAATTACCCCTGTTCAACTTCAACTCACGAGCTCGTCATGAAGACGGTTTACCCACTCCTTACTTTCTTCTCTGCCGCCATCGTCGCGGCCGGCCCAGTACCTAAACATGCCATCCGAACCAATGTTGAAGCGCCAACGCGTATTCACGTACGCACCGAGCATGTCGTAGAGCCTGCTCCAGCGCCTGCTCATATGCCGGCACCTGTTGATGCGGAGGCAGAAAAGCAGCGCTTAGCTGACGCAGAACACAAAGCGGCCGCAGATGCGATGGAGTCTATGCATGTGGCAAAGGCGCAAGCAGAGGATAAGGCACATCAAGAGGCCGCTGCAAAGATGGAGGCGGAGCATGTTGCCAAAGCGGAGGCCGAGGCCAAAGCACATCAAGAGGCCGCTGCGAAGATGGAGGCAGAGCATGTGGCTAAAGCAGAGGCCGAGGCCAAAGCACATCAAGAAGGTATGTATGAGACAGTGTTTTAACACACAATCACCTGTGGTAATACAGCTAACCCAGTATAGCCGCTGCTGCCATGGAGCAAATGCATGCTCAACAAGAAGAAGCCAAAGCTGCCGAACACAAAGCTCAAGCAGATGCTATGGAGAAGATGCATGCAGAACAGGAGCAGGCAAAGGCGGCCGAACACAAGGCTGCTGCCGACGCGAAAGAATTGGAACACCAGCAGCAGGCCAAAGAGATGGAGGCTATGCACGTCGCTCAAGAGATGGCCAGCATCGAAAACCAAAAGGCTAAGCAGACAGCTGCACCTATCGCGCACATGCCATCGCCGCCAGTTGTCGAGGAAACACCACCTATGGTCGAACACAATCCCCCTTCGAATGCTGTTCATGAGACACCAGCAGTTGTGGCCCCTGAAGCTCCTCCCGCAAACCATCCATCACCCCCAGCTATGACTGCCCATCCCGATATGCCACCAGCCCCCGAACACCCAATGCCAATTGCTGAACCTCCAGCTGTAACTCACGTCCCTTCACCAGCCAACATGACCATCATGTCTCCCGCTCCACCGGCACCCATCGCTACTGAAAGCTTTTCCCTGGTCATGGGCGAGGCTGTAGCATCCTCAGCTACACACGCTCCAGCCATGCATACTGAGCCCCCCACCCCTCCCATGGCTAACGGTAATGCCAACTCTACTGCTCCAAATCTTGCTGAGCAGCCTGCTCAGACACCACCTATGGAAGCCCCGGCCGCGGAAATGGAGCAGCAGCAAAAGGCCGAAGAGGAAGCCCAGAACGAGGCTGGAGAGGAAGCTCAGAACGAGGCTGGAGAGGAAGCTCAGAACGAGGCTGGAGAGGAAGCTCAGAACGAGGCTGGAGAGGAAGCTCAGAACGAGGCTGGAGAGGAAGCTCAGAACGAGGCTGGAGAGGAAGCTCAGAACGAGGCTGGAGAGGACGCCAAGCAGGCTGGGGAAGAGGAGCAGATGAACCAAGACAATCAGGATACAGCAGGTGAATCAAACAACCAAGAATCTGGCCAAGCCGCCCAGCCTGAGGTGCCAGTGGAGGCTGTAGAGTCCGAACCTGAGCCTGCTGAACCTGAACCTGCACAGGCCGGTCCGGCGCCTGCTGAGGATGCAAAGCCCGTTGTCGAATACCCCGCAGGATTCCTAACTGGTGCAAAACGTGCAATGAAGCTATGATGGATTTTCGACAGAGGCGGAGTCGGAGTGTGATTTGACGGTCGGGGGGTTGGGACCATCTAGTTCTCTTGTTTGCTGATCTCTACAGCAGTGTTTGAAAAGGCCTTGGAATGGACCTTGACAAAGTATATCGACGATTATAATTATCTATTTGCTACAATATCATGGGCATCATCCTCGAAGATACTGTTTCAAGAGTGGATTTGTGAAGATGAAATTGAGCAATAGTCTTAGTTCTCAGATATGCATCAACCTTGACAAACTCGTTAACTAATTTTACCCTTAAACCCCTGCTTTTGCCTTTTCTAGGCAAGATCTACTTTGTGTACTATTTCATACCCTTTAAGAAATCACACCTGTGGAAATGACTAGTTTCCTGCCTTCTCTTCTTCCTTTTGCAGTTCTTCCAGAACACGAACCTATATTGAGAGAAAAAGTGACTAGGAGAGATTCGCTGAAAATGCTTGAGTTGAGTTTCTATCCACTGGTCAAGTTTTACGGAGTTAAGTTAGGAGTATGCATGATTTCTGCTAATATCAGATAATCGCAAACTAGTGCAGATCTCTGTGAAAAGAAACAAAGCGATGTGGATTTCACTCTTCTCCCACATCCCACAATGATGTGGTGGCAAGATCAGCTTACACCTGTTGTATGATGACAAATACCGCAAGTTCATAGTCCAAGTGTACACAAGAACAGAATCCGAACATTGTACTGATTGATATTGAAAAAGTACACAGTAATACCATGTCGGACTTTGTGCGTATCTAGAGTTGCGCAAATCGGGGGGCTTGCTTTGTCGGCTCGCTGCTGTGTGTACTTGCGCAACCTGACACGTGCTCGAGTGATGTCATTCAGGCTGCTGCTTGTTTGTGTTGTAGCACCGCCCACGGCCAAAAAAAAACATCAGCACGAAACTTGTGTGCTGAGTCTGCATGATGGGATGCGAAATATAAGTAACAAGGCTGGTTGGGAACTCTTGTTGCAGTGCTACTGTGCACCGTTGGTGATTGGGACCTGAAGGGGCACCATGAGGGTGGCCTGCAGGACGCACAGGCTTCCTGCGGCTGGAGTTCGAATGATATAACTTGGTCGTGCCCAACAAAAGCTTTCATGAAATCCCCAACTACCATACTACCGTAAACTCCCAGAGTCATTGCAGCCCTGCAAACTTCTCCCCTTACCGTCCGATACCACGAAGTCAGAGCCCAGCATTTGCATCAACCATGCTCTCTCCAACCGTCATCTTTGGAATAGCGTTGATCGCCGTAGCCTCCGCCTTTCCCCAACCGAACGCCGGCACAATTGCCGCACGAGCAGGCGGTCCAGCCATCGTGCCCGTCCCCAGCAGCTGTAGTGTGAATAGCCCGCTGCCCACTCCGGCAGACAGCTCCTACCTTCCCGCGCCTGCAACAGACGGCGATATACTATACAGCGCCTTCTACCCGTCCTACACGACGAACAAGACCGAAATGGCCGAGAACTGCTTATTCCAATGCTACGGCTACGGCAACCACACTGAATGCAAGACTGCCTACTGGGCGGAAAATGTTCCTACGCCATCGGGATACTATGGTACACCTGGCGGAGACTTGTCCACGGCTTGTATCTTCTTCACGAGACCGCTTTCAGCGAGCGATTTTGTGGTTGCACCGGTGGGTCAGGCCACGGATGCTTATGCGGGTAACATTGCGTGTTGATGCGGGGGTGTGGCGGATCTGAATGAACATGATATCTACTGTACCATGCACAGTCCGTTGCTTCGAGGTCTAGGCTGTCTCTGTAATTCAAGCTTCTGCGCAAGTCTTGCGAATTGGGATAGGCGAGGAGGATATAATTAGCGTATACTTGGGTATTTTGGACGGCGCCTGCATCCTACCGTACATTCTGCATTCGCTTTTCACTCTTTTCTTAGTACCAAACTCTTGGTGTCGTTTTGTCGTGATATTTCTCCTGCAGCTACCTATTGAGAGTGCCCTCGAGCCAAACCATACAGTCTGGCTACTTCAACTGCTGGTTAGACTACTGAATGCAAGAGTATCGATATATAGATCCTGATGCTATCGGATACGAACGTCTGCAGTCCAACAGGCATATTATCTGCACAGTTGACAAGACTCTTCGCTTGGTACAACATGCGTCACCACAAATTATAGTTTATCAAAGGAGGCTTTTATATATAATAGAATGACCCCGCCAATGAATCCAATCTTACCCCACAACTAAAGTTAACTATGGCGGAAAACTTGACGTTATGGCCGCAATCATGCTTTGCACAAGAACAATGTTCATGTCTCATGTGCCCACCAGAGCTAACAGTACCTACCAGTACCGGTAGGTGTTGCGCCCACCAACGGGGTCATTACGAGGCCTTGCGGGTCCGACGATACCCATCAAGTCCTCAGAATCTAATGGATTATGAGAAACATCCATCTAGTTTATCCTGAGCGATGCAACTATACCACAGCATCTTTCCATCCAAAGGCTCAACCCCATGCGTGGGGGAAAAATTGTCTATTTTTGGAGTGATACGAAGGAACGTCAACTCCATCAGGATTGAGCGTCATTCAAGCTTTACCGGTAACTAACCTTTCCAGCCACATGCCGCACAGACAGTTACCTTCCTACGCTACCGTAGCAACAGACAAGTCTAGCACGGTACCGTAGCAAACATGCATCCGCACCACTATTCCCATGGATTTGCTCCTGGCGCAATCGAACGGCGTTTTGAAGCGCTGGCCAAGCAGTTGCAACGTGCCGTCGAAGAACGTTTTTTTCCTTCGGACAAATGTGTGGACCTGCACCAGTTTGGAAGCGCGAGGTCAGGATTGCGTGCGCTATGCAACCTGCTCCTCTACGCATAGGTACCGGTATGGTGTCGCCTGTTCCTCTGTTGAACCGATCGGTCGATCTGAGCTGTTGCACTTGCATCTCCAGCATCTCCTACGAGCGTGCCCTTGCAATGGTACTGTGTATGGTAGGTATCGTTTATCACCGCGGCCGCCCCGGTGTTCTCGCAAACTGGACATGACTCATGGCAAGTCTGGGGGTTATGTACATGGACATATCTACTCGGGGAAGCAATTCACGCGGCGATATCGGCACCAAGCATGCCAGCTGATGAAAGCTTACCTCCCAGTGGTGTGGTTCTGGCCAGCTTTGCAGACCAGGAAGGCTCATATTAGATGCTGTAGCCGAGCAGACAGGGTCGAAGTCGCGTACTGTGCTCTACAAGCTGACATGATTACATCCCAAGAGGAGGGGTGCCAGCCTATGAGAATTGTTACCAAATGCGGTACGGGAGCAATAGTGCGATGCAGGGTGCACACCGGTGACATGGTGAAGCGAGCTCCTCTTCTCTGACGTACGGTAGCTATCCGCTCGAGCGTGAGCGGACACCATACTGGATTTAAGAATGAGAGTCATTTGCCACTCTCGTCGAGGCGGTTCCGCCTCTGATTGTGGCTCAGTCACTTTCGCGGTCTCGGGAATGATGGAGTAAAGTGCTTGGTCACATCAATGACAAACTCGCAGTATCAACGCGCCTATCGATAGCGTACGTATAGATGGAAAAAGTAACTCTAACGTCTCCTGACTGAGTGATGTTGACTTGTATATACTTAATAAATTACAACCCGTAAAGCCCGTATGCATAAACGGATTGCTCTCAAAAGCACCCATAGGTTTCCTCGCATGATAAGCGTAACAAAGCATACCCTTTTCCAAACGCCGTAACTATGAGATCGACAAAAGGGCTACAACTGCAATGTAACAAAGGGTATAGAGAAGGCAAAGAAAGTTAGCTCCTCACAAAGCACCATGGACCGATTGCGAACACGATACAGTATCAGGCATTCTCTGTCTTTACAGGTGTCACGCTCTTGAATTCGCCATGAAGAATCTCAAGCAGCTTTCTGAGAGTATCTGAACTGCTATTCTTTTGACGAGTGCTCTTTCCATCCTCATCATCTCCTTCGGCATCGTCATCTTGTAGCAGTAGCTCAACGGTCTTCAGCAGCTTCTCATATGCGCCGTTGAGTTCCGTATGTGATAGTTCAAGCTTAGCGTACTTTTGGCTTAGTACAGAGAGTTGAGCCTCAAGGTCGCGGGCATGCCTTTCTTTGCGCTCACGGAAGGCCCGCTGAGCCGCACGATTCTGGGCTCGTCGACGCTGTTTCCCGGTCAGCTCCTACACTCAGAACAGATGTCAGAATCAACCTACCCCGGAAGTTGTGTGTGTCCTTTCGTTCGATGGGGAGCTGTGGACTGGCACGAGACTTGGTTCCCTATGTTGGGGTGGCCGCGGACTGCAGTATGGACTGTCATGATCGGATCCAAAGTCTGATGGGGTCATTGGCATGGGATATGACCCAAATTGCATCTGCTCGTCTACAATCTGAGGGTAGAAACTGTGGTGTATTGGCGCAGGAAAGTATTCGTATGTGGGAGACACCTTTTACGATTCAGTGACAGGAGAGTTCGGTGCTTTGAGCTTAGACTTACAGGTGAACCGCTCAGACTTGGAACCTTTGCGAGATCCGGAGGCATGTCGAATACGGTGGTTTGATGCGATGGAGCGATATAGGTTCCCTGCGCCATCCAGTATTCGAATGAGCCAGAGTCCATGGCGGCGGTCTATCTCCTCGAGATGTCTTGGAGGATAAGGTAGTATAGTATGTGCACGTGCTCCACGATAGTTACAGCTTCGAACGTCCCACTATAGGATAGCAACTGCGACCGAGTAATCCCAGGGCTTGTTGAGTTTGGGGTGAATGGATGGTTGTGCTGGATGTCGAAAGATAAATTTGCTTAGATGGTGGGGAGAGGCTTACACAATGGCGAGGAAGTCGAGAACTTATACAACTGGTAAGAGGACGCGCAATTGCTCAGCGGTATTTACTCGTCAACGCACTGGCGATGGCAGCCGACCGACGGAGCAGGGTTGGAGTGCGTTGCTGCAAGCCTGCAAGCTTGTCCGCAGTTAACGGCCATAATGGACCCTTGACAAGGTGGCTGCTGGGAAGAGGACAGGCCTAAAGCCGCTGTAATGGACGTAGTATTCCATCCTCGCTTCCGAGTAAGTCGTTCGGATTATGGTCCCACAGTACGGGCTGCATCTCGAGAAAAGCTATTCTCGTCCTCGAGTGGTTCGTTGAGTATCACAACGACAGTTGGAGGACAAGGGTGTGCTTGCAACGGTGGTTGGAGACGAGCACTAAACCGCTTCGAGTCTTTGATAAAATCGTGGCGTCCCATGGGGGCTGCACCTTGACAGCTCCCAACGAGCGAGGCGCGCAGTGTGCCGGCCATGTAATTCCTGCTGTCTAACAATAAGACATGGCTTCTGGAAGTTATGCCCCGCTTAAGAAATGCCCCGTTTGGGCTTAAAGCAGTGTAAGGCTGAAGACAACCAAGGCATAGCAACCGGGAGCTTCATCTTCCTGATTGGTAACTTGAGTCATGGGCACAATATACCGTGTCTTTGCTGGGGTCTTGTATCCAGCCTTGTGTATGTATGCCGAAGCAGATGGGCCTTGCAGCAGAGGAGTGTAGTACCTGTTAGGATTTGACCACAATTCAAGGCTGCGATAAACCTGAGGAGATTCCATATGTACTATGCAAGGGCACAACTCGGAGGCACCAAGATGGTAGCATACTGCAGAGTCTCACGCTTCGTTGCTGTAATTCGCAGGCCGAGATTCGGTCGAAGTGTGAGCTCAGGCTAACCAGGAGTGATCCAATGTGCAGATGGAGTGTAAGCAGCCGTCACCGCCCTTCTGTTCGGATAGACATGCTCCATGCAATGTACAGTAGGTCTTTGACGCTTCCTGCATGATCTTCTGGGCCTATGGATATGACGTTGTGCGGCCATGTCAGTATACCTCAGTTGCAGTATTGCTCGTACTGTCTCCTTGACATGGTCAATATCGCGAATGCTAGAATGGTGTTTAGTGGTAGTAATTGCTAGCCCAACCAAGAGACTGCGCTCCGTGTTTTACCGTGTATTGCGTTATCGTGAAGTGACAGGCTGTAGGCAGCGAGATATGTATGTGTTGGAACTTGGATCGGTGAGGGGGAAGCACAAGTTGAGCAGGCGGCTGTGCTAGCAATTTCGATCATGTGTCCAATCACAGCATGCTGAGTCAGCCACCCGATGCTATCATCAGTAGCCCTGTGGCATTTCTTAGAAACTGTGGTCGGTCATCTTACATATGAAGTATCGCTGCTCATCTTCCGTTCACGGCCCGGTTCACGGCCCCAACGATTCCCAAACTACGATTTTCCCCTTTGCCGCCCGGCTCAAGTCGGAGCTTGATAGTCATCCGAAGCAAAAGCCTACCGCCGTCACCAGATGCAACATGCCTTGCAGGGTAATTCGCCATTCAAGGTTAAATTACGATTCCTTGTGGGATATGACATGCATCTAGAAACGCAGTTTGATAGGAAGCACCAGGGAAACGCTCCCAAACAACAGTTGCGTTCCCTGGACCCGGATATCGATTGTAGTCGTTCAGTCTGTAATGCTGCTGGTTAGATTATCCGTTAATGACAGTATCCCGTCACTGGCAATTACTAGACACAATCTCAAATACTGCTCTGTGTATGTAAAGATTGATACATCTGACTGGAATCGATTAGATCAACTGGTGATTTAATCAACTGGTGATTTACATGAACTATGGTACCTACCCGGCGAACCCCGCGTCACGACATCAGCCATGCCGCTGTCCCGCTGCAGAGACAACCATGTGTTGTCTCTGCACCGTAGCTGGTAATGCACCTTCGTCTTATGTTTTAGCCACCCTATAGGGATGGCCAATCTTTGATTGGGCCAGCGGGGAACCATCGAATCAGACCCTTGTACGATAAGATCCAGCAATCCGCCCTTGAGGCCTGTTTGGGTTTCTATTGCTTCTACGCTGCATTTTGTAGGTGTTATCTTTAAGGCCATTGAACACAACTTCAGCTTGCCTATCGCATGCAGCATGTGGCCAAAGAATCACATTGTGTGGCTGGTATGGTAACCAATCCGAAAGGTTCTCTGATGTGGCTTGGTGTTTATGCTAGAATGAATATTCCGAAATATTCCAGCCATGATCAATCTAACATGGCATTGCAATTCGCTTTAGCATACTCTGTTTGGTCAGCCCAACTTTTGGTTTTCATCTATGGCTAGTCCGAGCTGGGCTGGTGGTATCCCATCACAATTCTCTCGGAACTCATGCTCACGTGTAGCTCCTCATCATGTTCTCACCTGCTGGTATGCATTTTAGTCCCTATAGGTCGGGCAAGAAGTCCCAATTCAGTGCGGCTTGCTTGATGGTTGTTATGGATACTATGAAAACCTGTAACTACTGCGCAATTTACAACAATGCTTTCCTTCCCAGGAGCCTTTGCATCCCTAACAAGCCCTCGAATCTTCTGACTACAGGAGCGGTTCGTGTCTTCTGCAAGGAAATGATGACATCGTGTCAACTTACCTTGAGCGATCGCGGAACTTGGTTGTCCCAGCAGGATTCTTCAAGCGCATGAAGAATAACAGACCTTGTCAACTTCCTTGATGATGCATACCATGGACCACTGCATGCCCGTGGCGTAAAGATTCATCTTACACATCATAAAAAAAATGTCATGCAAATGATCGGAGCGCAAGGTACGTATGCAGCAATCATCTGAGCCCTACGATAATTGAATACCGCATCAAAGGGCAGGATTGGTGTAGCATATGTTCCGGGACTATGCTGCGGACGCATAGGGTAGATGGAAGGCACATATTTATGGTAGGATGCGTCAAGGGCAGGCTTTGGCGCATGGCGTGTGGCGACTGGCGGGATTCATATCGGGGACAGGCCGAACTTTGCAGGGGAGAGCATTGTGAGTGGCGCACGGGTTTGCTGAGTGTGAGGAGCAACATTTGGTCGCTGTCGTTCTGTGGAAACTTTGGGCAAATCGGAATCTGAATCGCATGGCTGCTGTTGCGTAGCAGATAGTCATGGACTGATGGGCTGCTGCTGCAAAGGAGATCGATGACTGCTTGGGGTGGTCTTCGGATGGCTCAATAATTGGCAGGGGCTTACCTTGGCTTTCACCTTGACACCACGCATCCAGGAGAAGTGCCAGTAATCTTGAAAATCTCGCTGTCGAGTTACTACAGAGCATTAGCGAGCGAAAGCGCAACTTTCGCTATATTTTCGGTTCGTTTCAAAATGCCTCATCGCTATACAGAGAAAAGCAAGACAAGGGGGGATACCTCACAGTGTCCACAAGCCACTGCGTCGCTTGTCCAATGGATAAACGAGTAGTACTGCCATGAACAGTCCAACGGTAATACCTATAGCGATCTGAATCATAGACGCTGCAACGTTGAAAACGATAGCGTTCAAGCTGTCCGTAGTAGACTGACTTGTGGTGTTAGTCCCGGTCCAAGCGCGCTATATCATACATGACTCACGTCTACTGCTCCTTTAGAGCCTTGGATCAGCGCTGCTGCTGTCTTTAGGGCGGAGTTGATGCTGCCGCTCGAAGCGAGCGAGCCGGGTACTTGGACATAGACTGCAGGGAGTAGGACGGCAGCGGCGACACCATGACGTAGCCGACTGTACAAATTGGCCAGGATGCCAATGGTAAATGCACCGAATGTATAGGCGATGGGTGCGCTGGATGAAAACTTCTTGTTTGCGTAGAAGTTTACAATATAACCGGCGAATGCTATGAGGACCATGGCTGGCATCTGCTTGTACTTGGCCTGGACGGTGAAGGTTGTGAAGAAGACGTAGAGGGGAACGAAGAGAAAGTTCCAGTAGGGATTCAGTGGGTTCTGGCATTGTGTCGAGTTGGTGGCGTTGGAGTCTATTGCGCCGTAGATGGCTGTACCAACAGTGATGCCATAGCCCAGAAAGAGAGAGTAGATTATGGCGAAGACGAGGCGGATGGAGCCGGGTACAATTGCGCGTGACTGTAGCTCAAGGGCTGAACAGAGGACGAGCTGTGGGGAAGGGGTTAGCATTATGAAGTACAGCTGAGAAGACCAGTGGAACCAACCCAGCCTGGGAGGATCATGGCGATGGCGCTCTGGGCAATGGCCGAGAAGCAAAAGAGGTTGCCGTTGTTGATGCTTCCAAAAGCACGGGCAAGGAAGCTCATCAAGATGGTGGCGGAAATCTCGAACACTGTGCTGTACGTCTTAGACAAGGGCGCAATGACCAGCTGCAGGAGACCTAGGAGACAACCTAGGACAAAGATGACTGGCATGTCGACCCAGCGGGCCTTGAAGAAGACGGAGATGGCAGCACTTGCCAGGCCATACATGATGACTGTGAGCCAGACGGGATGACAGTCTGTTGCATTGATGATGGTGTCGAGACGAGCCAGAGCTTCATCTAGGTCAATGAGGTCGTGAAGCACCTCTTTGTAGATGTCATGCGTGTCCTTGAGCTTGCCGAGATTGACGCCCTGAACGGTACGGACCATTTTGACCTCTGCAGTGTGAGAATATCTGTCATCAAAGCAAATCAGCATGCAACCGGGGATGTAGAGAAACTGGCTGTTGATCTCGAGCACTTTGGCAGTCGTTGCCAAGTACTCTTCGAGTCGGTGTGTTGGGGCGCCAAAGAGCATGAGAGCGCGGCACATGCGGATGATGTATTGCTGGCGCTTGAGGATGTTGGCGACGTGGACCTTGATGCGCACATCCTGGTCTTCCCTGGCCTTGACCACCTTGGCCAGGAGGCCGCTGCTGGTGCGCCTGTGGTAGCGAGGACGCACGGCGGCGTCTTGCTTCTCCATGTTGGGATTCGCCAGCTTGGCTGAGGCGCCAATGAGTGTGGCCAGTGTTTCTTGCGAGGGAACGGCCTTGTCTGCCTTGTACCACTTGCGCCTGTTCGAGGGTGTGGCCGCGCCTGATGAGGATGCGCATGGGGGGCCAGGCGATACCCTGCCGGCCTCAGAGGGGGTGTCGGCTGTCGTGGCAGGAACTGATGGTGATGGCGGTGGCATGGGTGTTCTGTAGGCCTGAAGCAATTGGTAGAAGATGCCGCCATTGGTACTGCTCGTCACTGCATAGGCCTCGTCCTCGTCTTCGCCCTGGTGGGTCTTGTTCTTGCCCTTGCCCTGGCCCTTGCCTTTGTCAGTAGAGGAGGTCGTTTGTGGAGGCGGCCGGCAGACGTCCTTGGTGTGGCCGTGGGTGTATTCATGGTGTGCAAGAAGCAGCTCTTCGGCCTCGGCCGTGTGCTGGTCGCTGTTATGCGAGGGCGAGCCAGTGCTGGTCACTGGGGGGGCAAGGTGATCCTGCAGTGGGGGAGGTTCTGGGACGTCGGTAGCGGTATCAGCAGCGCTGTTGAAGCGCACGCGCGTCTTGCCAGTCGTCCATGGCAATGGCAATGGCGTCGATGTCGATGTGATTGTCGTTGTCATTGGCGTTGATGTTGTCGTCGACGTTGACGTTGGCTCGTCTTTGGAGGGCTGAATGGGCTGCAGTTCGTGAGCAGCGTCATCGTCATAGGCCGGGTGGGAGGATCGGCAGGAACGGGTCGGCGAGGACTCCATTGAGAAGCAATGTCTGCTCCTGTCTGTCTGTGCTGTTTTCGTGTGCGCGTATCCGCGTAACCTCTACCTCTTGAATGATGGCAGCTACAGTACGACTGGGGAGATTGATGTAGAGCAGCGACAACAGTCTTATAGGAGAACCCGGTCCTGATCACATACCGCATACCCACAGTAGCTGCTAGCACAGTACCCATCTCACGTGCCGCGAGTACATGGATTCCGTGGGAAGCCGTGAACCCACGCATTGTCTGTCTGTCTGTCTGTGATGGATCGCAGGTGGAGTCAGCGGCCCGAAGCCAGACAGACACTTACATACTACTGAATGTCTGCAATAGGTATACAGACAGTCCACGTGTGGGTAAGCTACACCGTCCTCTAGAGTCTGGACTGTGTGTATTGTGTGTACAATACATATATACTCACCTTTGTGCTCGACTAGGTACTCTTTTACCTAAGACTCCAAGAGTAGTAGGCAGTCGAGAGTCGAGACCTTTCGTTCCCCTCCCCCTCCCCGCAGTGCCTGTTTGTGTTTCCTATAGCAAATTACCTACGTACAATACTAAAAGTGAGAATAGCGGCCCAATTTGGCAACTCGAACCCAACCTTTGCCTGACCGCTCTGGCTGGCTGGACTTCATGGCTTGGCCAATGCAGATCCCTCTTCTCGTATTCCTGTTGGACCAATGGCGGCAACGACCTCACCGCGGAAGTCTTCCCGATCCATCCTCGTCCCACTCAGAAAAGCTCATCGGCCTAGGCACGGTATAAATATGGTACCTATTGTATTGTATCATAGTGGAGCACTCCATGTAGATACAATGCCTCCATAAGTACTAGACACTGGTACCCATCCCGGCGCAGATCTCGATTGTGCCTACCACCACACCATGAACAATACATACACAGTAAACTACCCCTACCTACTGCATCAGCCGTTACATAAGCCTCAAGACAAAAAAATTGTCATATACAGCTAGAGGTACCAGTAAGCAGTGTGGTTGGTAACTACCGGTAGGTAGGTATAGCTCAAAAGTGAAACGGCTTAGTCACGCCCAGTACGTACCTATAGGTACTGCACACGAAGCAAAATGCTTTACCATTCCATGGTGGGTAAGTGAGCCACCAACAAAGCAAAAAAATCACTCCGAAATCGCCTCCCACATCTGGCCACCAGGTCAGGGAATCAAATTCTCTTTTTGTGTGTTCTGTGTGGACGCTAATGCACTCCTATACTGTACTGCGAGCATCGACAGTGCCTAGTACTACATACACTTTCATCAATCCGATAAACCATCATTCGTTCCAAAATCTCAAGCAACAGACTGTACACGGTTGACAAGCACAGAATCTTGACCTTTTGGCAGACTTCTCATTTTGATTCTGCGACACCCCACCTCATCACTGCCTGCGGGGTCTGCTGAATCCGATCCAGTCTGGTGTGCACTTGGTTGCAGCTGTTAGCCCACCGGCATAAGGCCGTCCAATCAATCTATCAACACAATCACATCTGTCGCCATGGGACAAGCGAGTGTGCTTCACGGAATGACCCCATGGATGTACGCCAAGACACGGCTCGATTATCTGATCGTCCTGCTCTCTCGCCTGCCACTTCAGGCGATCGCCTGTTGTCATTCAATCTGATAAGAAGCGCCTTCATTCTGCTTTCACCCGAGTCGGCAAGCTACGCCCAGCATTTCCCCGAAGCCAAAATTTCATCTCGGCCATGTATTCGACCATTGTGCTCAGTGTTTTGGTAGCGGCCCTTGTGCTGGCATCACGCCGATTCAACCTTCTATCCAGAGTCTTGACGGTAGGACGGCGCCCAAGGACTGGCCTCGACAGTACTCACATGTATACAGTTTTACTTGAAATGGCGAGAGCCGATTACATCGGTAGACGGCCGTCAGAATCTACCAACATTACCATTCGTATGGCCCAATGGGCAAGGCAACGTTGAGAAGTATCTTCACGGCCGAGAAAATAGCGTCCGATGGGGTGCTGAGTACGGCTCGATCTATCGTATCTGGTCAGGATTCCATGGAGAAATGCAAGTCTCCTATCCTTGTCACGGCTCAGATTCACTGTTGACATGTGTTAGCATTTTGACCAACCCAACTGACATAGAGACGGTATTTCGTGACTCTCATACCCACATCAAGGCTAGCGCCAACGACAGTGGACACTACATGTACCAGCTTCTCGGTGTATGTCTTGGACTTGTCAGTAAGAAGGAATGGCAGTCTTTGCGCAAAGCCACCGAGGCGCCCTTTACTCGAATGGCATCGACCACGTACGTTGAGCATGTGCTTGAAGAAGCCAGTAAACATGTTGCCGGCCTGATGGAAAATAAGTTGTCGAAAAAGTGGCTGCTCCATCCTGCCGCAGATCTCAGAATCTACCCCTTTCTCGCTCTCGCAGGTATCTTGTATGGTGAGTTGACGGCAGACTTGAAGCGCAGACTGATAGATATCATTCCTGGAAGAGACTCGGTCTTTGCGCATATGATTCGTGGGGGAGTCACTCGCTACACCTGGGCGAGCCACCTTCCCATCACGGCAAACCGCGAGATGCGCACTTTCAAGGAGGCTTGGGGCAAGTGGAATGATGATGCTCATGCGGAAGCGTTACGAAGAGGCCAAGCAGCACCCATCATCGACATGTACAGTCACCTAGCTCGAGGCACAATCACACGGGAGGCTCTACTACAAACACTCGACGAGATGCTATTTGCCAACTTGGACGTCACTATCGGAGCATTGGCCTGGACGTTTGTATTCATCGCTGCCTACCCTCGTGTTCAAACACGACTTCTTTCTGAAATCAAAAATGCAAGTGTGGACCCGGACACCAACAAAGCCTACCTCATGTCGCAGAGCAACTACCTCCACCATATACTCCTCGAAGGCAGCCGTCTTCGGCCCGTAGCCGCCTTCTCCGTCGCACAGGCCTGTCCTACCGCTCGCCAAGTGGGTGCTTTCTATCTCCCCGCAGGCTCAAAGTTTGTAGTCGACGCCCACGCACTCAACGTCCGCGATCCTGTCTGGGCCCCTGACAACACTGCTTTCCGACCAGAAAGGTGGGCTGAGGGCGGCGTGCAACGCGCCAAAGACGTGCGATATTGCTACTGGAGATTTGGATTTGGTCCGAGAGTCTGTCTGGGAAAGTATGTCGTGGATCTTATGATGAAGGCTATTGTGGTCGAAGTGGTTACTAAGTGGGAGGTGAAGCTAGAGGATGATCATGGGGACAAGTGGAAATGGGATGAGGAGACTTGGTCTTTGCCTGCCAATCTGAGGATTGCGTGTGTAAAACGCATGAGCTGATCTATTACGTGTCCTTCAGCGTTTTCGAAAGTTGGCTACGGAAGATAGATGTAAATATGATGTGGACAGAAATCCCTTGCAACAGCCCATTGCATTCAGATGGGACAGGCGTCTACCAATCCCCTAGAACGTCCTCTCAGCAACCACCTGATTCCTCCATCCCAGCAATCCCTTCCACTTCCCTAACCCCCTCCTCGAACCCCTCATCCCCTGCCCACCACCCGCACTTCCCCTTTCCCTCATGAAGGATGCAAGCAGCGAGTCTGGGCTGTCGTGGATTAGGGATATGGATATGAATCCAGATTTTGCGCTTGACTGTTTGACAGCAGCAGGCATCTAATATACCCTGAGTTTCTAGTAATTACCCTTGGAGTCTATATTTTGCTCTATTCTGGTAATTAAAGTTTGGGGCCTTTTCATTCAATATGATTGATTCAAGTTAAAGTGAGTACTCTGTATAAGTTATAACTCAACTACTAGTACCAACCCTCGTTTTGTATATAAAATTACTTTCATTTATTTAACTACTACAGTTCTACGTATTATTCGAGATTGTTTTGCTTAATTCCTTGCCCCATTTGCCCTTGAACTTTCCTCCTTGTTGGAGAATCCTCTCCTGCTTAGTTTCGGCAATCCACTCTCCCCTAAACCTTTGCTTCGGCCGCTGCGCCTTCTCCATCAGAATCCGGTCCTTTGTGCTCTGCTCCCTGCCATTGACGTGGCCCTTCCTCTGTGGGTTTGCTTGACACCAGGCCTGGAGCTGCGACCGAAGTTTAGGTCCCCAGACGTCTTCACCTACCTCAAGATCCGCAAAGGTAATCGCGGGTGTCAGATCCTCTGATTCGGCCGCCCTGCCGAGTGTGAAATTTGCTTGTTGGGTACGAATCAGTCCTACCATGTGAGCGCGCGAGCCGCATGCAATGCCTAAATCATGTGCAAAGCTACGCACATAGAATCCGGAACTGACCGTGAGCCTGACACAGATTGCTGGAGCTGGAGCTGGAGTTTGCTCTCCGGGCCATGGGTACTCGTGCTGTCCCGCATCATACCAGTGCAAACGTGTACACTCATCTACGTGCATCTCCCGGCTTTCCAAAGGCCGCGGTAGCTCTTCACCCTTTTGCGCGTATTCATGAGCCTTTCTCCCGTTGACCTTCAATGCGGAATAAACTGGCGGTAGTTGCAAGATTGTGCCTCTGAATTGTGCCAGCTTACTGTCAACCTCCTCCTGCACGACATGGTCGAATTTTGCTCTCTCCGTAACCACACCAGTACAATCATAGGTATCGGTACTAGCTCCAAACATCACCACAGTCTCATACGTCTTTTTGCAAGCCAAATACTGCTGCAAATGCTTTGTGCCCCTTCCGATGCCAACGATCAGCACTCCTGCAGCAAGCGGATCCAAAGTACCTCCATGACCCAGCTTGAAGACCTGATCGCTGCCTTTGCTTGGTCTTCTAGGTTGCGATTGAAGGAGAGGTGCAAAGGTCTGAGAAGATGCGAAACAGGCTTGCAGTTTTTCGAGCACATCCCCAGAAGAAACATGTGCTGGCTTTGCAACAGCTACACAACGGTCAGCGACTGTGCTGAAGCGTTGGCCTGGACGTTTTACCAAAAACCCCCTCCAGAACAGGCGCCTCTTCTTGCGCCATGTGTTACTGTAGGCGTATTCGTATTGTGGGACAGCGTCAAGTGGGAAGGACTAGCATGCGTGGGTGTTGGATGCCACACCTACGTAGAGTAGAGTACCGGGGTATGGTACGGTAGATAGGCCACTGGCAGTGGCTAAACCACTTTCGGCAAGGCGAACATCCGGGCCTAGCTGCCCCGCTGCTTTCGTGCCTCGTTGTTCCCACAGTCCAGTCAGGATGGACATGCTGTACAGAGTGTGGACTGCTGCGGTAAGTTGAGATTCATTCATCATCAAACGACATTACCTTCGAACACGAGAGCCGTCCACACTCCCCCGAACAACAACAGCGCCGACTTCGGGCGTTGCCAAGCGGCTACCTACGTCTCGGCTTTCGATCGACTCGACGGGCTGTCAACATCAAGAAAAAAAAAACTTGCTGCAGACTCTGTTAAGATAGTTATGGCTGACCAACAGTCAAGTGAATGGCAAGCACCCAGTTGGAACGAAGAGCTCTTCGATCCTCTGTGGATGCCTGATTACAATGCGCTGGACTTTTCGCTGGACTTTTCACTCAATGTTCCTGACGTCAACTCCTCGTTACACGCGACCGAACAAGTGAGCAACAGCAACTTGGATTCTGCGTATGATTTCGCCAATACCTTGGCCGCTAGGATCGACACTCCGCCAGCTCCTAATCGCGCGTTCGACCAGGTCCCGTATCAGACGAGCACGCCACAGGAACGACCGGTACATCATCGTCAACATACACTGCCTCGGCGGCGGAGCAAGTATGTTCTACGTCGAAATAGTAGCAGGAGTAGCCCAGTGGCGATTGCAAGCCCGGGGATCAGCCCTCGTCCATTCGAAGCGCAGCCGCTTACTATGCAGCGCTGGCAAAATTCACCTCCAGAGGATGAAGCAGCCACGCTATCTGCCATTTGCAATGCCCTTGATGGTCGACCCCTCGGTATCTCTCCTCAACACAGCAGGCCATCGAGTCGCGATGCCTTTCGCAAACACCGTGGGCCTTCGTCGACAACAAGCCTTGACTCGGCTGCAAGCGAATCCTCTCTGCGCTCGTGCAACTCGAGCCAATCCGTAGCATCTCACTCGAATCGCCGCAGTCAGACGTCCAAGTCGCGTGTCAAGGCGAAAGCAAAGGGGCGCAACATGTCTGCCGCAGATCGTATCTTCAAGTGCACTTTCTGCTGCGATACCTTTAAGCACAAATATGACTGGGCGCGGCATGAAAAGTCGCTTCATCTCAACATGGAGGAGTGGATATGCACGCCGAATGGTGGCTCTGTGCTATCGCCTTTGACAGGAAGAGTGCACTGTGCATATTGCAACGTTCTTGATCCGAGCCTGGAGCATTTGCAAGAGCACAACCATGCGGCCTGTCTAGAGGATCGAGCCACTCCACGAGTGTTTCGTCGGAAAGACCATCTCGTGCAACACCTACGGCTCTTTCATGGCCTAGAGACTTTGCCATTGATTGATGATTGGAAGGTAGAGTCCATGCCAGTAAAGTCTCGGTGTGGATTCTGCGACATGGCGCTGCGCAACTGGGATGAACGTGCGGATCATCTTGCTGCCCATTACCGAGAAGGAAAGACAATGGCGGATTGGAAGGGAGATCACGATTTCGAGCCTGCTGTTGCTGCGCGTGTGACGAGAGCGTTCCCACCGTGGCTAATCGCATCTCAATCTACCACTCTGGTTCCGTTCTCAGCAACCGATCCAGCAGCTCTTGATCACACAAACCAGCTACTGGCACACGTCAAACTAGAAGCCACGCAAGCTAGAGATGCAGAGACCACAGACTTGGATGCAGGTGAACGTTGGCCTGATTCCAACGTGCAATTTATGCCTTCGCAACAGGAAGTCGATACAGCGACCTTTGCCGACATTCTGAGTAGCCACCTCAGTCGTTTCGCTCGACAGCGGATGTTACAGGGTATCATACCTACCGACGAGATGTTCCAGAATGAGAGTCGGCGATTGTTATTCTATGATGGAGACGATAAATGGAACCAGACGGTAGCCGACGATCCTACTTGGCTGCAGGACTTTAAGCAGCGTTCTGGCTTTGATGGAGGTAGTGGGAGATGATGGTCATGGTCATGGTCATTGAGTTGAGTTGAGTAGTATTGTAGAAGAGGAGAGCACAATTGCATGCAAGGCAGTAGTCCAAGCGCCAGGCCGTAAAGATCAGCGGGGGGGCGCTGCTTCATAGGGGCCGTATGTACCGTAGTAGGCTGTGCAATGTACCTGGGTATCATTGGAACAAGCATGTCGGGGTGTCGAATAGGCATCCATGGCGCGCTGGTTGATTGACGGGATCAATCTACTTGTCTGCGAAGCTTGACGCTCGGCTCACCCCTGCTTGCATTTTGCCCACTTGCGTAACATGGTAAAGGTAGACGCCTCCCAAACGCTCAGTGATGATGATGTCTACTCTAGTATTATGCCTGGTGTCACCGAAGCTTGAGTCTGTACACGGACCTGGAGGCACGAGGTCCCATGAGGTCCCATGAGGTCCCATGAGGTCTTATGAGGTCCCATGAGATCACATGAGTTTACTAGTACGCACTTACAGGACAATGGCCGATGCGCCTCGGGAGCTGGGAGCGAGGAGCCAGGCCAGCCCTTGCCATCCAGCCACAGCCAACCGGGCGGGCACCCGCCGTCATACATACACCAACTCTCTCTCTCTCTCTCTCTCTCTCTCTCTCCTGGCCTTCCTGGCTTTCTGGCTGACGCACAACCACCCACAACCTCCAACCACTACTCACCACTCACCCACGGCTAAACCTCTCCACCTTGGAACACACACGCGACCCCCTGGCCCTGGCCCTGGCTCCTGATCCTGACCCGCACCGGGACGCGAATACCAACAGGCTTCAGCGCGCCGGCCCTCAACGTCCCGTCAGCGTCAGCGCCCAGGCTTGTATCACGACCGCCGCTCCTGGCTTGCGATTTGCGAAGATGCGCGGCCTTTCCTTGACAAGGACGACGACGACGCTGTTACTGGCGCTAGGTGCGGGCCTCGCAACCGGCGACGACACAGTCACGAGCGGGCGTATCAAGGTGCAACTATTCGCAGCGCCTGGTTATCTCTCCGAGGTATCTGTCGACGCCTACAACAACGTCTGTCTATCGCTGGACAACAACCTCATCGACGGCCTGGTACAGTCCATTCTTGTGGGAGGGCACGATGTGGCTACGGTGCTGCAACGCAACGATTCCTGGAATTGTCGCTTCTACGAGTAAGTTGCCTCTACCAGCCAGTCATGCATGCATGCATGCATGCGTGCGTGCCCACTCTATTGACACTACAACAGCAACTACGACTGCGAAGGCGACATGGACACATACTTGACCGTGCCTGACGGCGTCAATAACCTCGGAAGCTATGGCTGGGCCACACGCATACACGGCCTGCGCTGCCGCAACTTTGACCTGGGCGACGACTGAACGTCCTGCATATCTGTCTGAGAGGGAATCGCGTCATGTCCAACGACAACCATGCACGGGCTCACGGGCAATTCGTGCCGCGAGAATCACGGCAGCTGATTTGCTGGTAACCCACCACGACTCGGCTTACAGAATATGCCCGATGCTACCTGGCTCACGCAGCTGCACTCGGCACGCCGTATCGATGCCCCCGTCAGCTGCATCTTGCGCTGGGCATTCAGGTAGTGATAGGATGACGAAACAGGTAGGGAGGGAGGGAAGGGATGGGTGGCGGGTCGGAAGCACGGCGTTCGATGATATCTGGGTGTAGCCGAGAAGCAAGGTCACGCACCTTGTCTGCTGCTCTGCTCATCTAGACCACACAGCCTTCGAGTCCATGGCTATGTACATGTACATGAGCGGGTTGGCAGTCTAACAAGCGCATTTAATGTGGCATATATTGTGCAAGTCCACACAAGCCCAAGACATTGAGTCAAGGGATGGGGTTTAACCCAATGTCCTTAGCACGCGGGCAATCTTTAGCAGATTTAATTCAGATTGAGTGCATCACCACGCTATGCATCCAGTCAGTGCGAGTTCACGCGGTGACGCCATGCTCATAGATGGAATGTATCGTCTCTCTCTCAACTCCCAAAATCTTCTAGGCCGGGTATCTCAAGCGTAAAAACAAGCCCGCAAAGACTGATGACTCGTCCAAACGATTCGCAATCATCCACCATGCCATCTCTACAACCCCGCCTTTCCTTCACAAGTCAATCAGATCAGGTGCCTCTCCCGACCCAACACCCCGCAAAAGCACAATCATATTCCCATTCTTGCACGGCTCCCCAATCTTCTCGTTGAACTTGAGTAGCCGCCCGCCCTCTACATGAAAGACACGGAGCTTCTCCTCCTCGCCGCCACCGCGATTATTCACATTTTGCACCTGCAGCGATTTGGCCGCCATATCCAACACCCGACCCACGGTCCAATCCTTGTTGTAGAAGAATTTCCCAGTCGGAAACTTGGCCTTTGTTGTATCGGCCGAGGCCTCGACGTGGAGATATACCCGCTTGTCCACAGGCACGCTTGCCTCGCCCTTTGCCGTCCGTTTGAGCGCATTGAATTCGGCCTGTGCACTGGCCGCTGCTGTTGCCGACGAGCTCTTTCCCCCTAGTCCGAGGAAACCTGACTTCCGGCCTGATCTTCGCTGCTCGTCTTCTTTCCGTTTCGACTCGGCCCACAGCTTCAGCTTCGAAAGCGCGCTCATCGTCTGCTGCCTTGCACTCCCGGAGGCCGCCCCGCGGCGTGGCACGTTTTTGCAATCGTGGTCCTCGGGCATGCGGTGCTTCAAGCAGTAGGAGCGGTTGCATGTTGCGCACTGGTTCGCGGGCATGCGGGATGTGTTGATGAGTGTCTTGCATGTGGTTTCGCCGCACTGTTGGTCATGCGTGTACAGCGAGGGTTTGGGTGCTAGTGAACCGGAGCGGTTTAGGGCTGCGCGTCTTCGAGCCCACTCGCCTGCCTGGGGACACTGGTGTGCATGTTCTGTGCGGTGGTCGAGGCAAAAGGTCCTGTTTGTTGTTCAGCACATGTCTTTGCATACTGGTACGTTAGACATGGACATACCCTTTGCAGCTCTCGCATCGAAACGGGAGGAAGTCTAGTACATGACAGTATTCCATCTGGCAATGAGCCCCGATACTTTCAACATCGCGCGTCTTCATCTCGGTGTAGCTTGGCTCGAGGGGCGGTGTTGAAGCCATGTTTGCGGTGCAAGCGACCGGGAATATATACACAGTGTTTGCACGCACGCAGGCCTAGTCGATAGCAGTACCTTTGAATACTCAGCATGCATTACAAAGGGCCACAAGTGGCTTCGGAAGCATCGAGAAAGCTAAAGGCTTACATACCTGCCATACGAGTAGGCCACAAGAGCTGACGACGGTGAGGCGCCACATCAAGCGGGAGTCGGAAGCTAGCTCGGATGGGTTCCGAGACGCGTTTAGACAAGAACAGGACCGGGTTAGGTGGCGCGCGCTCACCCATCGTCCTCGACTCCTCGCGTCCTCGCCACACTGTATTGCCTCAGCGCCAAAGAGGAATCGGGTGCACACGGCTTGTGTCATAAGCAGAATTAAGAAAATTCTAGAGACATACGACAGCTAGAACAAACACTTTGCACACGGCGCTCTCGTTCCCCTACAAGTCCACACAAGGGGAGTGAAATCACCAGACAAAAGGACACTGCGGATCTGTAGAGCAATGCTCTAGATCCAAACAATCTTTCTCTTTCATTGTGGCTACATTTGAGTTCAGAGTGAGTATTGGCAAGCCTGATATCAGCAGTCTCGGCCGCTGCAACATGTCAGACAGCATAGAGTCACAGTCTCAGTAAACAAGGCGTGCTAGAAGACATGAAAAATCTACATGTCTATGTCTTCTATTCTGCAAAAGTTCATGTATACTTGCGAAACATCTTCACCCATGGGGATAGACCCTCGCTGTAATCGCTCCTGCTGTTGATGAACAAAATATACACGCTCTATCGGACGGGGGCCAGAATCAGAAAATGTAAAACGATATCGCTGCAGGTATAGCTTGTTAAAAGGATACAGTTTAAAATTTGTCACCGACAGAGGTTTCAAACTTGACGAGAACTCAATTCCCGTTGAAGTAATCACAGCGATCTCGAGCAGAATCAAGTGGTACTGCCGAGAGAATCACCCTCACCCATGGTCTAGTCTAGGCCGAGAAGCCGCTTGACGAGGTTGCAGTATGCGACCATGGTTAAAGCACGCATGGCGCAGGACTGTATTGAACATGGCTCGTTCTAACAGCGATGTTCAATAATTAGATGTTGGCAACCTTGATGTACATTTGAATTAGCGGAGATAGCATCGCGTTCTGGTGAATCACGAACACAACTGAGCACAAACTATAGTTCCTTGACCTTGCCCGTGCCCGTCAGGTTTTCCTCTTTCCTCAACTCCTTGGCACCCGTTACCGGTCGGCCCTCGACAGCCGCGTCACCGCCAAAAGTCTTGAAAGCATTGTAAAATATCCACTCCGTAGCGTGCTCGACAGGCTCGTCAAAGACGTATGGAAGGAATGGGACAGCCGCCAAGCCAAGCTATGCGTCTTTAGCAATTGAACATTCATCGAGGACTGCATACAACTCACGCCGATAGGGCCCCAGGTCCTAAGAGTCTTGTTCTTTGCATCTTTCAACGCCCTTCCCGAGTAACGAACGATGCTGTGTATGGTAAACGCGGGAAGTCCCATGGAGGCGACGGCTTGGAAAAGGGCTCGCTGGGCCATGACGGCGCGGTAGTCTTCGATGGCAGGTATTCTTCCAGCAACGACTTCGCCTCCAGTGAGTGCAGTTCCAGCACTACCATACTTGAGGCCTTCGGTCTTTGTCATGTTCTGCGCTGCGTCTTGCACTCTTGCGAGCAGGCCAGTGTCTCGGCCTGTAGCCGTGGTCTGCGGAGTCGCCTCAGTCTCTTCCAAGAACTTTTCCGGGTGCAGAACCCGTTGGTTGCGACAGTAGGCCTTGTACCCCTCATGTGATACATCGCCTGCCAGATACAACCACGAGACAGCATATGCGCCCTTGACTAGGTAAGGGTGTGCAACCGGACGAAACGACTCTCCGATATCCGATGTATAGGCGACGTATCGATGCGCCGACAGCATGATGGTGCGGATTCTCGATGCATAGGCGGCATATCGAATCGAGGTATCGGTCGTGTCTTCGCCGCTACAAAGCCAGAGAGCTCAGTCCCGTGATGCGCCACAGTGTGTAGATGGAGGAAAGGGAAACAGGAAAAGCGTGCAAGACCGGGGACATGACCTACGTCCCATCATATAGCACCTCCCAGAGCTTCTCTTCATTGTCGAGCGTGTCTTGCAGCTCTTTGGGCAGCTGCTTGCGCGGCGGCGGGACGGAGAAGTCAGGGCGGGTGCCTTGTCGCCCTGGCACGATGGTGCCATTGACATCTTCAGCGCCGCGCCCATTATCTTTTGCCATGACTGAAAGCGATCAATTGGATGGAGGATTGGAGAGATGGCCGCCGGTGGGATGCTGTAGAGTTGCTTGGCTGGCTAGAGTATGAAGTTGCCTGCCTGGACAAGACATGTTGACCAGAGGCCCTCGGTTGTGCAGACGTCACACACTATCCGACATCATCTCATCATTAGATAGGCCCTAGCCTACTTGCTACTATACCGGTAGGCCCCATCCTCTAAGGTAGTCGATGGAAGTGGCATGTGAGGCGCAGTCACCGGCTCCAGCCACACACAAATCACAGCCAAGACCCCCCTCGACTCTTCCGAACAGAAGCTCCGCCGCAAGCTCACAAGCGGCCCTCTCCCTCCACCACCCACGCCTCCACGCCGTCCATCCATTGACCCTCGCCATCTCCTATCCCCCGGCTCCCATCCGATTCACATCCTCCCGACACATCCGCCAAGATGGTTGCCATGTACACTATTGCCGGCCGCCAGGTCGGATCGCACGTTGTACGTTGAATCCGAAGAGTTCCTGCAGGAAAAGTCTGAATGCGACACCTGTATGCTTTCTGCGCCGCCATGTTCGTGCGCAGAGCGCTTGGAGGGGGGCGCACCTTACAGAGCATTTGGGGGACTTTGAAGTTACTATGGGGTTACAGACATGGCTGACGAGCTTGTTTAACAGCTTGCGATTGCAACCCTCGGCATAACCTTCACTGGTGCTGCGCTCGCCATGGGCGGCAAGAAGACCGAGGACGTCTCCCAGCCCCCGATCAACGCAAAGAGCCCTCAGGAAGAGAACTTTGTCAAGTAGGTACCCGCACGTTCCGTCAGTAGGCCGCGTGGTGGATCAATAGGGCACTGCAGCGGAAGTCATGGAACAAGTCGAGGCGACTGGCTAATGTATCCGCAGGGAGTACGTCAAGAAGGCCGCGGAAAAGGTGGAGGGAAAGCACTAGGGGCAACAGCAATAAAAGCGACTCATGACGATGGAGTGGGGACGTTGCTGGGGGAGCAGATGGATGCACATGATGGAAGCATGATGAGCGCATCATCTTTGTAGATACGCCAATTGTACCAACAGCAAGTTAGAGAGCGGCCGCCACATCCACTGCGACGTCAACAACAATAACAACAACTTGATGTGATTCCATGACCGATACAGAACAGGTACATTGACTTGTAAGAACACCGTAAAACACCGTCCATTCACAAGACCAAACGCCAACACCAGGTATCGTCAATTCATCGTAGCATGCGCCCAGTCGTTAGGAACCAAAACAAAAAAAAACCCTCCAAAACCCCAAAGCTCCGGGTCAAAGCTCCATACTCCCGCACAACTTGGGCCGATACAACTCCTCGTCTGTATAGTACGGGACCTCACTCGTCCTCGAGGATGATCTTCTTGGACATGGAATCCACAACTTTGCAGTAGAACTTGGCCGCTTGCCCTCGCGGAAAGCAAATCTCCTCGGTCAAATAATCTGGTAGCAGGTCCAATAGTTCCCTGTCTCTTTGCTCGTCGAGCAGCGGCTGGTATATAAATTCGGTATCTTCGTAAGACTCACTGCCGGCAGAGACCGTGAGATGGAAGTGCAATGCTACAACATAGATTAGCACCAGAGCCATCATACATTACATTCCGTCTTGAGTATCAAAGGCAGCACTTACTTCCATTGCGTCCAGTCTGTAAACAGTCATACACATCTTCATCTTCCTCGTTTCGCCTCATACCCAGCACAACAAGGTTCGTCAGGTCGCTGTACAGATCCACCTTTTGCTTGGCCAGCTGAGCCTCCTTTGCGGCCTCAGCTGTACCAGGGAGCACAACACCATTTGCTCGTGGCTTCACTGCACTGCCTGGCACATTCCTGGTCTCTGGCTGCGTTGATGACCGGGCTGCAGCCAATTTACTGGACAGAGTTTTGCTCTCATTCTGCGATGCAGCAAGCGAATCAGTGAGCTTCTTGCTCTCGGAAATTAGGCGTGCGTTGTCTTTGGCGAGTTGAGCAAGCTCTTTTTTCGTCGACGCAAGATCCGATGTTCGTGACTGGGTCTCAGCAAGTTGCTGTCGAATAGCCTTGATGACTGCGTCCTGATCTATGGAAAATATTAGCCATGACTTTTACTCAGCCCTCACGCGCGACATACTTTTCACAGTCTGCTCCATCCGCTTCTTCAGTTGGTCAAACGTCGACTCCTTCTCTGAGGATGCCGCCTCCTTGAGTGCCTCGTATTTAGCCGACATGGCCTCTAGCTTCCTCGTGAGGTCTCCAACCTTCCGCCGCATGAATGGATCTCTCTCCCGAATCAGATACACTTCCCGTGCG